CCATAAACAACCTATAGTAATGGACTTTCCTGGGAACTGAAATTTTCTGTGTTTGGAGTGAATTAAAAAAAAAAGTATGTATTATAATAATCTGCTGTAAACTATCATGTATGTATGAAGTAAATACATAGCAGTATTAAGCACTCCTTCCATGTCAATAACACTGTGTTATATGTTATCAAATATGTATGCAATTCATGAAAAGTACACCCTTCTATGCCAGTGATAATCTGTGGTCAGCTACAGCATATATTTGATGCACACAGACAGTGGCACATTAATCCATTTGTCGATTCTGTTCATTAATAATTTTTCCTCCAGTGAAACATGACGTACTCAAGTTTATTTTTAAAAAACTGTATAACGGACTGCTAAAATATGGTTGTTCAGCTCATACTGAAAGAGTTAATTGGCATATTTTAAGATTAATTCAGCTGACATACACATGTAAAATCACTAACTTGCAAAAGAGTTAAGCAGAAGTAGCTCTAGTGCTTGGGAGTTTTAACAATTACAAGTTCAAATAATGGACACAAATCTATTGATCGATCGGTCTGTTGCCACCAGGCTGTGACCTACAAGTTAATCTAGAGATTTAAAAGTCTCAGTCTGGATGTCAGGCCCCAGATATTTTGTTCAACCTCCAAAGAACATAGTTAGGGCACCCATAACCCTACACCTGCTGGGTGTCACATGCAGTCCTACGTGGGTCAAGATGATGGCAAAAAAGACATACAAAAATACATTTCTCAATTTACTGCCTGGATATTTTGCTAAATCTTGTCAGGTGCATTAATACATCAGCATTTAATTAAGCTCAAAACAATAATCCTTTCAACTGAAATATACAAATCACACTGTCTCCTCCTACACTGTACATCTCACCAATGAAAGTCCAGATTAACTATGTGATCACCACAGAGTCTAAGGTTAACCACATTATCCTTTATGACAAGCAATAAATTGTGCAATGTAGTGTTGTTTTCGCCTCATTATTTAAATCAACAACAGTACAAGACTATTTAAATAACAAGTTTCTCAAGTATTATTCACTAGCCTTAATACAATCTGTACAAATGCAATAACGATTCGCCAGTCTACTTTACTTTTTACCACAAACATGTTTTCAAATATGACAATGCTTGTTAATTTCATCTATCCATTATTATCAGATTGAAGCACAGAGATGCAAGCTTTAACTTATTCTAATATCTAACAATGATATTACACAAATATCACCAATACAGTATTATGTGCAGGATTTCATTGATTGAATGTTTAGGATCCAGTTTATTAAACAAGCTGTTATTACAAAAATGTTTGAAGACCACTACAGAATAATTACCATTGAAGTATATTTTAATTTGAACTCAAATAATAGAACCGTATGTTTCATTTGTTGGCACCTTTTAATCTTTCTAGATCAGGGCTATTCAACTAGAGGCCCACAGGCCAAATTTGGCCCATAGAGGACTAGCAAACAGCTCACTGCTTTTTGTATTGTGTTAATTCTATGTCTGTGCTCAGGCCTCGGCCCCGTGACGATCACCATTTTCAAAATTATGTCCCCTGAGTAAACTTAGTTGAAAAAACATGTTCTAACTGATGGTGTTTTATTGTGCTGCAGGGAAGCAAGGAAATCACAGTCTGTGGCTAAGGCCAGCATGACTAGCAAGACCTGCTTGTGTTAATAAACATCTTCCACAGCTAGAGGATGAGACTTCAGGACCTCTGTTGTCGTAGCATATATTCACCATAGGGGATGTCATTAGAAAGACTATTATCCTCCAAGAATGTGAATGTATCTAATGTCATTCCTTATTCATTGATATGGCAAACCCGTTTATCAGAGGTAAAATTACTTTGCATATGATTGTTTCCTATTTTCAAAAACATCTCACTTTTACATCTTTGTATACCTGTATATGTAACCCTAAATATATTTAGCCCTTTCAGCTTCAGAAGGTTTCACAGAGGATGCCAATAGAGAACGTCAGCCAAAATGTACATGTATGTATTAGTAGGAGCATGTACCGGTATTGTATGCTGAAATAGTAGGCCAAGTTCCTATAGTGCACTTCACACACTGACAGGCGGACAGTAGGTGGCCCCACATGATGTAGTTCATGTAACTGACAGACAGTTGGTAGTCCTTGAGACTGAAAGGGGTATGAAAAGCAATAGTCTGTCCAATACTGTTCCTCAAAATGTTCAGGAGTTTTTTTACTCTCCATTCCTAGACATTTTAGCAGGCCATTATTTTACCCAGTACAAAGCTATCTGTAGCTAATTAACCAAGTAGAGTGTTGGCGCATTATATCATGTGTCAAGTCTGAAGCCTGTTGCTTGCCCAACCTGATAGAGTCTCTTCCTTCCTGGAGACTCTGACTTGCATTTGGCTTTATGTTTTTTAAATCAACTGTTTACGTTTGTTAAAGTGCCAGTAGCACAAATGCTGACACAAATGTTCTTTTAAGCTAATGAATTGCTCTGAAAACAGAGTTATATTCTGAATTAAGCAAAGGAAGGCCAACAACTGCAATCTGGTTAGTTTTTGGGTATGTAGAACTCCGTGTGGGTTCTGGGTCCCTATCTGGGGTAGGGGTGGATAGACTCATTGGCCCCCTAAAACGAATGACGAGAGAAACAACCAAGAGAATCTGCTGACATCAGATATATTCGGCTACAAAATAGATATCAGAAGGGCTTTTTTCTGGAGAGAAAAAAAAAAGGTGCCGGTACTCACCACTAGGTGTCATGAAAAAAGTGCTGGTACTTGCCAGAAGTGTCCTTTTAGATGGTCCATAAAAAAAAAAAAAAAAACAGACATCAGCCTAGCTGTAAACCACAACATCATGTCCAAATCACCATTTTCTATGTGAATGCAGAGGAAGAACTACATGTAGAGAATAATTCTCCCCAATCACAACAAAGTGATGGCTGCTGTAACAGTACAGCAGCTACTTATATGTTGTACTTCTGGTCTCATTATCACAGTCTTGATCCCAGTTAGGTGTAAAGCTGACTTGGACTCTCAGGCTGATTAAGCCCAGCGGTTCTCAACCTCTTTTGCCTGTGGCCTTAGATTTTGCACGCATCAATTGGCACTCATAGAAAGAGCTAACGATAGGAGGACAAACTGTACAGCATAGACATCGAAAGAAGCAGTTACCAGCAGAACTTGAATTTGTTGCCATAAACCTGTAGCTCTCAATCTGTGGCTCGCAACCTATTTGGAGATCGAATGACCCTTTCACAGGGGCCACCTAAGACCGTCAGGAAAACACATGTTTACTGGAGTTGGGAAGTGAAAAAAAAAAAAAAAAAATTTCTGGTTCAGGGTCACCACAACATGCTGATGTTTCATGGGGGAAGGGGTGGAATCATGTACCCAGATTACCTTAAATGTAAAAAAACACTTTTTTCCCACACCTTCAGGCGTATTGGGCATACATTACCAGACCTATGTTTTAAAGACCAAAATGGGCACTAGGTGGGAGATGTGGTCAGCATATCGTATCGTATAAAATCAAACAAAAATTCCAAGCTTAGTCCCTTTTTTAGCCGCCTGATGGCCTGCTTTTTCAAGTACGGTTCCTTTGCTGTCTTATTTATTTATCTTCCTTGTGGTGAGCAACACGTGAGCCGCTTTTATTTACAGGATCTGTCCTGGTACCCATTTGAGGCCGAGTCGACCTGAGGGCCAAAATCATTGTTTTTTTAAAAAGCTGGCTCAGCCAGAACCCAAACCCACAACATTCTGATCTGCAGCCGAGCATTTAACCGCTACACCCCAGTCACTCCCAATAGGTTTTTTAATTTTTCACCACAACAAAGTAAATACTGGCAGTTTATATGTGAATCCTTTTTCTACTCATACAACAGATAACTAACATTTAGTTGATTCACTGTGAATGAATATGCCATAATTTCTCCTGCATACCTGTAGTAGAATGGTAACTAAGTTTTCATAATGATCTTGTAGCTAAATGGTGCATATACTGTATGGTAAAAAAAAAAAAAAAGAGTATGTGAATCTAAAACATATACAATGATTAATACTTCCTAACCATTTCAACAGGTGGGGACATGAAAGTTAAAGACACTCCTACCTGGTTTACTGAACAAGAGACTGGAAATATACCTCTGATATTGTTAATTGTCTTTAGTTAGTGAACAAATGTCTTAAGTCAGTAAAACAGAGGTCTTACATTAAGAAAAGAAGAGAAATACTGCTTAAATCAAGCATAACATCCAATGTGGCAATGTAAAATACATGTATACTGTAAATATCTTATTTTAAACTGTTTAATTTTAAAATCAGACCTCTTAACCCCCGTCTCGGTTCGAGTGCCCCATTTTCAGGGTAAAGAGAATAAAATGCACTGCCCCATAACAAGCACATTGTAAAAGAAATTATTTAAGAATGTTTCCTTCGAAGTTAGAGTGCATCTGCCTGAAAGGCAAAAAGCCAATCCTCTGCATACAAATAAGCTAGATCTGTAAAGCGGATGTGTGTGGAAAAACTGAAGTTCTGGGAGGAGACTAAAGTCTAGAATTGGATGAGGAACCAGAAATTTCCACCAGAGTTTACATCTCTGGTCAACACAAAGCAGCAAAAGAAGAAGATATCTTAAAGGTATCAGCTTTAAACTAAAAAATACAACACTGGCTGCTTCAGATCTCACTGGTTGCTTCCCCATTAAACAGAGGGCATAAAAAAAAATGAGTTTGTATAGAAGATGTCATACAATTCGAGCTAACATCAAATCATAATTAATAATGCTTGGGTCAAAATTTTCAGATTGAAGCACTGATACATACAAACATGAGATTCGTTACAAATGTTTGTCGAACAATATTTAAAAAATGAAGAAGGTCACTGTATTGCTCAATATAAGAAACATGCCCTGTTATAAAAAGAGTACTGATGTAATCAAGAAATGGCTAACTACAATATACTGGCCGAATGTTTCTTGTGTTCAGTAATGTTAACGTCATTACACCAAAACCATCTCCACAATGGATTCTTTGATGATCTCCCCAAAATCCTGATTCAAATGGTGCTCCTTCTCTTCCTCTGATGTTGGAGAAGATGACGATGATGAAGTAGAAGAGGAGGCGGCTGACTGTGCTGCAGATGAAGACAGCGAGGATATTACTTCAGAGTCTGTGGCACAGGCCTCATAATTTCGATTCTCTTCGTACTCTGCATCTGGTATGTCACATGACAAACTGTCGCAGTGCACATCATTAATATGCGCTTGACCCTCTTCGTCACAGGAGTTCACCACATTGATTTGTTCTGTAGAATTACAGCTGGCTTTCAAGCTACTGACAATCATATCAGGCAAATCTGGATGCTGAAGTGTTGACTGTTTGTGGTGGACTGCACCAGAATCATTAGATGGTTCCTTAGCTGCTTCCTCTGCTGGGGTGGTCACACCGACAGTGGAAACAACCACTCCAAGTGAATTACAGGAGGCTGAATTACTACTGTACACATGAGGATTATGTAGAAATGTATCAGCATCAGTGGTTGAGGTTGGTTGTTGGGTAAATGACTGATGTGCCATTGTCTGACAGGAGGCAGGTGAGTTTGATGAAGATGAAGAAGGAATCAGAGTGGATGACGAAGAAAGAATCAGGGTGGATGACAAAGAAGGAATCAGGGTGGATGATATAGGTAGCGTGCTTGTTGAGGAGACCTCGGTTGAATACAAACGTGATGTGAATTCAGGTGGAGAGCAGGATGAGGTTTGTGGAGAGGTAACCAGTGGCTGTGATAGTGATAATGTTGCAGATGTACTTGAAATGTTCATACATGTATCAGAAGATGTTCTGTTTTGTTCAGCTGCGGCAAAAGCAACATTAAAGTCTGTACAAGAGTCAACAGTGCTTGTATCTGGGTATGGCAAGTCGTACATGAGATTCTGGCAGCCTCCTAGGACTCTGTTTGTGTTAGGACTGTCAGAAGAAATGTAGTAGTTGGTGAATGAGGGGTTTGAGTCTTTCAAGGTACAGGCTGGAAGTTCTGACCTGCTGTCCATGTGTGAAGAGATACCGGGGCAGTGGGCAGCCAGACGGTCTCGAGTGGTGGCTGTCATGGTAGTATACGTGATAGTGGATGAGTCAGGAGACGGTGGGCTGGAGGCAGTAGCACAAGGTTCTTGTTGGTAGACAGCGTTTTGCGAAATTCCTTGCTGAGCTGAACTCTGATCTGCTATGCTGGAGGAAACGGAAGATGAGGTACCAAGTCCTAAGCACTCTCTCAAGGTGGGATTGGCAAAGGATGCACTCCAACACGATTGTTGAGCTGAACGCAAAGAAGGGAACCTAGTACTGCCATCATTGCTACTTGATGATGCCGTCAGGTTATCAAAGTTTACAGTTGTTGGGCCAACAAAGTTCATATGGTTTGGCTGATTCATGTAATTCTTCTCTGCCACTGATGAAGTGCTGGAGCTGTAATGTGTACCTGTATGTGTAGATGCTATTTTGTATGATGCTGTGGCTGCAAGAACGGTGGTCTCCAATAAGTCATTGCCAGCTATCTTGCTCTGAAAATCAGGGACTCTACCTTCCAGCATCGAACTAATGCCAGTGACACTGTGCTCCAAACTGTTGCCCAAGTGGGTGTGGGTCAAGCACCCATTCTGAGACTGATGACTATGAGATAAAATTCTATTTCCTGGCGATCCCCTACACTGCCCTGATGAAAGCTGCGGTTCTTCTGGCAGAAATGGAGTTAGATGAGACTGGGCATTAGACTGCTGAGTGTGAGAGTGCATCAACAGCCCACATGATCGCCGCTGGTCCAAGTCAAGATCACTATAGGATGCTGATGACAGACCAGTTCCACAATCCCCATTCATCTGAAGGTTCTGAATACCACCAGGATTAGGTAGTCTTGCTTGCTTGGGCATGATGGAAGATTGGTTACAGACAGATCCACTGCTGCCACCAATGCCTGAAGAAAACATATGAGATGGGAGACCGTGAAATTTTCTAGAGAAACTGGATTGGCTGATACTGGAAAATGGTCGAGATTCTAAAACTGATGGCATGTCACTCATGTCAGGGTATGAGGCGTCATCATTATCAAAGTACATAGAAGATGTATTCTCTGTGCGGTAGATCTCTTCTTCTCCATCATTAAACAGCAGCATATGCTCAGAATGCTGCTGCTGCTGTGGTGGTGGCGGTGGTAGTGAAGTAGGAGGAGGCCGCAGAAGCAACATGCCTGGAGAAGGAGTCAAGTGATGCTGCGGCTGCTGCAAGTGTGATCCTTGATACTGTGATCCTACAATTGTAGGAATAGCTCGCTGCTGCTGAAGCTGCTGTCTCTGCTGATGGCTGACCATTGAGAATTTGACATCATGCATCATAACATTGCACATTTCTGTGTTCTGGCAGTCCCTACAACTGCCTTTCTCATTGCTGTTGAACATATTCAGATCAATTACCTCTGTGCTTTTCATCTTCAGTCTGCTTTTGAGTACTCTGCTGCCATCATTGGTATCTGTACCCATGGATGTGCTACTGCAGCTCTGATCACCAGGAGCATCTGTGCTCAAGCTAGTCATTTCCTCCGCAGTTTCAACCTCGCTGCTTTTGACATTCATTTTACCTGCAGCTTCTGGTGATCTATTTGAGGCAAAGGATGTTTTAGCTACTGGGCCGACTGCCTGACAAGGAGAGTCAGTTTTTTCTAGCTCCAGTCGCATAAGAGTATGAATAAAGTGGGTTCGTACACGGATCGGGTTGAATTCAATTCTTCCTGCAGGATTACCGCAACCATCTTTAGTACAGCCACAAGGAAATGATAACCGATCGACCTGGCACTGTATGCCAGCAACACTACAAGAGCAAGTGGCTGGATCACAGAATGTTTTACAGTCGCAGCCGCAGACGTTTCTGGACACTCTGATGTCCCGGCATTCATCCTTCTCTTCATTATCTATTTTCTTGACACCTGCTGTCCTCAAGAGCACGCGCCGCTGACGGATTGGAAGCGGCTGCAGGAAGTAATAGTCATCATACTCACTGTCACTCTCACTACCAGAGGACACATCTTCCCCAGGATTCATTGGCGGCAAAGAGGATGCAAGAAGTGGGGATGGAAACATCTTTCCCTGTCTGCGCTGTTCCGCAAGAATGGAACGATGGATCCGTTTCTGCTCCTTTGTAAAGTCTGACAAACTGAAATCTCGTGTGAAGGTATGCTTCTCAGACATTCCTGTAGGGGGAAAAAAGACAATTATTGAAAATGAAACAGTAGAAAGAGTGGCTGGCCGGGTGGTTAAGGAAAAAAAAAAAACACAATTGAGTCTCATTCGGGAAACCCTGGCTCAAATCCTCGGTAAGGATTTATTTGGGGTTGGGTGCAAAAATAAAATCCCTAACCCGCACCATTTGTGGCCACTGCACTAGCTACACAGCCCTGAATCTTTAAGCTCAAGACCCACCTTCCCCTCCATCCCCACTTAATTTTTCTTCTTCTTCTTCACTTCCTCTTTTTCCGCTTCAGGTGTCAAGGGAGATATAAGGTTCTTCTTCTTGCTTTACTGGATGTCTTGACCGTAGACACATTAAGCTGTTGTAGAGTCTCTATTTCATAATCCTTTAACAATGCCATATTCAAATGTCATTTGATGGATCTGTTTATATCTCACTGTATATTTCTGTCATCATCTTCATCAATTTCCACGTCTGCTGCTAAGCACTGTGGGGAGGAACACTTGCAATCTAGTGCTTGATGGACAGAAATGGTTATAGTCATTCTGTGTCGATGAAGAAGCTCTTTAACTTCCTGATGGGTTAAGCATCACAGGCCCCAGGAGTAGTAATGAGAGACATAAAAATCGGTGTATCACACGTTAATCAGGCTTCTAGGTAGGAACATATGAACGTATGATGCGTTTCTCGGGACTCAAAGAGTTAATGTCATCAGTATTCTCTGTAGTGATAATAAATCCACTGCCAGCCGGTTGCAATTTCACCACAGTCCAGTTAGCCTGCATGTTTCAGGGTGACCCAGGATGCCTTCAAGGTTACAATCAATCCTAGAAAACCCTCTACTTTGTCCTATTTACCAACTCTCATGATGTAGATGTGGGGCTGGGCTTTGAGAGGCTACACTGCCTAGAAAGTGATGAAGACAGTTAAAGAGGGGAAAACTACAGAACCCATTCAACAAATTTACCCAACAAGAACAACAAAAGGAGTAGTGAAAGCTTGACTTCAGTCACATAACTGTCATGTTTACAATGAAAACTAACTGCAATGAATCTACAAAGGTGGCATCTTCTGACACAATACTGTTATCCAACTTATAATTCTGCTTACATGTTGCCCACCTATTTTCATATTTTCTGTTCATTATAGTTTGTAATCTTTCTTTGAATCTTTCTGTTGTAAATTTCTTCTTTGTGCTAGGCATCATAGTTTAACAGATGATAGGAGGCTCAGCTAGGGCATGCTTGGTTGCTTGGTATGTTGTGATGCTGTAAGGCCTTAAGTGGTCTGCGACTCTTTCAATCCATCTTCTTCTAAGTCCCCCTCTGCCTCTTGGTGTTTAAATTTTGGGGTGTGGGGTGGAAATAGATCCACAACACCCCCTAACAAGCGTGTCATAAAAAGTGCCCTACTAGGGGTTTGCTGACATTGGATGTACTGGGATGAAAGGAACAGATGTCGCAGTCTAGCTGCATACCATAAAGTGTCAACTGCCATTTAAACTGCCTTTAAAGAAGAAATAAGCACTGGGTTAGCATATGTGTGCCAGCCACCTCACTAACAATGTGGTTCCTAAGAGAAATATTGTCCCTCAAACATTGCCTCTTATTGTTGTGAAGACATGCTCTGGATCACAAATTATTCCTCCCCACGTCACTAAACGGCGGAAGTGGTTTATAATGAAGATGATGATGATGATCTATTTTCTTGACATCTGCTGTCCTCAAGAGCATGCAGCAATTGTGGGATTAGTTCAAAACTGTTGATTTATTAGAATGTTTTCTGTCATTTACAAAAACCTTTCAGTTACTGCAACATTTTACTTGCTGTTGTTAAAAAACCTTGTTTACATCCTCTATTTGGTCAACAGAGGTGGAGGAAATTTAAAACATGAAAAGTGGGCACAGCAAGAATGGGACTGGCTGAAGACAGTCCTTAGTCTTATTTCAGAAGTGACGAGTCATGTTGGTCTACATATCCCAGGGTAGTGTTTGTTGGTTACCTCACCTGCTTCACCTCAGCTGTATAACCATGAGTCACCAATAAAACATTTCACCTGCCCTGAGTGGTGAGAACTTGTTTTACTTAGCACAGATCTATCTGTCAATATTATAACATGGCTTTCCCTAGATATATCACCAATCTATGTATCAACTCTGAAGATCTGCACCCTACCATCAAATACCCTCCCCAAGCTTTAAAGACCTATAAGGCCTTTGAACTGAGATCTATACAAAGGTTCTCATAACACCACAGACAAAGAAAAAAAGAAATACTGACATCTTAAAAGATCTGAGCATCAAGGAAGACTGGGAGCATCAAGGAAGACTTGGAGCATCAAGGAAGACTGGGAGCAACAAGGAAGACTGGGAGCATCAAGGAAGACTGAAAGCATCAAGGAAGACTGGGAGCATCAAGGAAGACTGGGAGCATCAAGGAAGACTGGGAGCATCAAGGAAGACTGGGAGCATCAAGGAAGACTGGGAGCATCAAGGAAGACTGGGAGCATCACAGAAGACTAGGAGCATCAAGGAAGACTAGGAGCAACAAGGAAGACTTGGAGCAACAAGGAAGACTTGGAGCATCAAGGAAGACTGAAAGCATCAAGGAAGACTGGGAGCATCAAGGAAGACTGGGAGCATCAAGGAAGACTGGGAGCATCAAGGAAGACTAGGAGCATCAAGGAAGACTGAAAGCATCAAGGAAGACTGGGAGCATCAAGGAAGACTGGGAGCATCAAGGAAGACTGGGAGCAACAAGGAAGACTGGGAGCATCAAGGAAGACTGGGAGCATCAAGGAAGACTGGGAGCAACAAGGAAGACTGGGAGCAACAAGGAAGACTGGGAGCATCAAGGAAGACTGGGAGCATCAAGGAAGACGGAGCATCAAGGAAGACTGGGAGCATCAAGGAACTGGACTGGAAGAGCATCAAGGAAGACTGGGAGCATCAAGGAAGACTGGGAGCATCAAGGAAGACTGGGAGCATCAAGGAAGACTGGGAGCATCAAGGAAGACTGGGAGCATCAAGGAAGACTGGGAGCATCAAGGAAGACTGGGAGCATCAAGGAAGACTGGGAGCATCAAGGAAGACTGGGAGCATCAAGGAAGACTGGGAGCATCAAGGAAGACTGGGAGCATCAAGGAAGACTGGGAGCATCAAGGAAGACTAGGAGCATCAAGGAAGACTGGGAGCATCAAGGAAGACTAGGAGCATCAAGGAAGACTGGGAGCAACAAGGAAGACTGGGAGCATCAAGGAAGACTGGGAGCATCAAGGAAGACTGGGAGCATCAAGGAAGACTGGGAGCATCAAGGAAGACTGGGAGCATCAAGGAAGACTGGGAGCATCAAGGAAGACTAGGAGCATCAAGGAAGACTGGGAGCATTAAGGAAGACTGGGAGCATCAAGGAAGACTAGAAGCATCAAGGAAGACTGGGAGCATCAAGGAAGACTGGGAGCATCAAGGAAGACTGGGAGCATCAAGGAAGACTGGGAGCATCAAGGAAGACTGGCTAGTAAACAGAAAGTGAAACACTTTGGTAATATCAAGATTAGAAAAAAATAACATCAGAAGACAAGGTACAAGAAGAAAAGAGACATGAGTAGGAAATTGCAGGAGGCAGGAGAGACCAAAGTGTCTTTCAGGCAGACCATGATGAAAGCGATGTTCTACAAAAGAACTGCTACATGATATTGATGATGACATAAAGAAAACAGTTTACCTAATGTTGATCCACCTTCGCTGGGAACACAGGTAAACCCTTGCTTCCGAGGGAAATAGAAAACACTGACTCCATTAAAGTTCACCTTCTTTTTTATCCTCTTGGGTGGTGATGGTCCAGGCAAAACTGAAAATGCATCCAAATCAAGTAACATTCTACCATAGGTTACAGAAATTTATATTAACGAAGCAAATGTCGAATAAAAATCACAGCAAAAATTTACGAACACAGTAAGACCTTATTGCTTTGTCTAGAATACACAAACATTTAAGAAAGGTATTTGATTGGTAGGTTCCGGTGTGTATACGTCATTCCTATAAATTAACAGAGGTGGGAACCATTTTTTAAGGCCGTTAAATTTTATCACAATCAAAGCCACAGCACATTGGGCATCCTTTGAGTGCTCAGTTCAGCAGCCACTCCAAGGAATCTCTACTGACTGTTGCCATGAGGAGCTGGTCACAATGTTTTCTCTCGGCACTGAAGGCGGCATAAACCCACTTCACAATGCTTTACTCCCATGTCATCAAATCATGCGAGTGTGAGAGATTTGTCATTATCCACTAACTTAGTCCGTACAGCGCCGATGATATCCGTTCTGTCCATGCTTCATCCCACATGTACTGCTGCACTGATTGCCAGCTGGTCTGCGTGAGTAAGTAATGATAATGTACTTATATATTTACAGACCAATCAGCCCATGAATGAATGATGTAGATCAACATCATACTAGCCGGCTTTATTTCTCAAGATATTAACTACAACCCATTTAAGGTCAACATAGGAGCCAAGGTCAATTTTGAGTGGATTTAAACTCAAGACCTTCAGGTGGCAGTTAAGTGTCTAGCCATTATACTACAGTGACTCCCTCTAGAGCAGGGCTGTTCAGCAGAGACTTAACAAGTGGGCCACAAATCATCTGCTAATTGTATTATATTAATGATCTTTCTATAATGCTGCTCCGGCCTCTGGTCCAAGACGATTCCCATTTTCCATCATTTCGGTCCATGAGTAAATATACCCCTCCTCTTGAGCTACATATTGTGTATATACTTGATGACGGTAATGATGCACAAATAAAGAGAAATAAGAAGAACATTGCAAACAGCATAAATTCTAACTGCAGTGACAAGCCTCAGGGATCTCCACAAAAATGCACTTGACATGTATCAGTGAAACAAACCAACAACTTTCAGAGCTGGAGGCAAACAGCTTAATCACTTGAGAGAATATGGACCAAGCACTATATTTCCATTACCCTATTGTAGGATATACGTAGTCATTACACTGTTTCTTTTTACAATCTGGATAAACAGTTGACATCACAGCCCTCAGGAAAAGCCCATTTTAGCTCCGTCTCCCTCCTCAACAGTCAGCAAAGAGTCACAAAACTATGGCACCAGCAGTCATATGGCTAACTATTTGTCTTGCTTTTCCCGTGAGTTTCCAGCGGCGCCCAGAGCCCACAGAAACCTTCACTGCACCTTTCTTTCCATCTACGGGTTTTCAATATCTTCAATTTTTCTTGTTACCTCACCCCACAGGTGTCGGATAATCTCTGCCATGTGGAGTTGCAGTACATCCCCCAAGTGGGGCCAATCCAGCCGATGTATCTGCCTGTTAATTCCCAAACATCTTTACAATAGTAACCACAAAAGGCAAACAAACAGGGCTGGTGACTTCTACCAAGCTGATGCTGAAAATGAACAAACTCATATGTGACTAGGAAACTCCACAAACAAAAGACACAAACAAGTGTAAATAAATGGATGTTGTCAACAAAGAAATGGCTTCTTGATTTATCTATGTCTATTCATTCACAATAAAACAATTATTATCCCTATAAGTATTCAGAGATTCACTGTTTAAAAAAAAAAAGGAGTGAAAAAGATAAAAGAAAGACCTGCTGATTCTTAACAAGAATATAGTAAAAGGCGAGTAGTTAAGGATTTGAGGAAATCAAATGTGTTGGGCTGAAAGGTGCCGGCATCACACCACAGCTTAGATGTAAACTACAACACAATGTACCAACTGCCCTTTTATAGGCAAAAGCAAAAGAAGAAAAATAGGAAGAGGAAGAAGAAGAGGAGGAGGAGGAGGAGAAGAGGAGGAGGAGGAAAAGAAGAAGAGGATGAAGAAGAAGAAAAAGAAGAAGAAGAAAAAATAAAAACAAATAAAAAGAAGATGAAGAAGAAAAAAAAGAAGAAGGATGAGGAGGAGAAGAAAGAAAGCAGAAGATGAAGATAAAGAAAAAGAAGAGGAAGAAGAAGGAAGAGGAGAAGAAAAAAAGGAAAAAGAAGAAGGAGGAGGAGAAGAAAAGCAGCAGCAGCAGCAGAAGAAGAAGAAGAAGAAGAAGAAGAAGAAGAAAAAGAAGAAAAAGAGGAGAAGAAGGAGGAGGAGGAGAAGAAGAAGGAACAATTAAAAAGAGAGTGGGACACATTTATCACCAACCTTCTGGTGACTTGGCATCTGTACTACTATTGCTGCAATTGCTATCATCACTCTCTGATTGGCCATTTGAGGGCGCAGCACTCTCCAGCCCTCCCCCATCATCAGCCGTCTCATCAAACTTTCTTTTCAACATGCTAGTGGTGGTGGTGGAGATTGCTATGATAGGATCCCTCTGTATCGTGGAAGCACCAATAGTAGTTCTTCTATGTTCACTTGAGAAGGTGGCCCCATACACAGCTGACGTAACACTGCCTACACTTGGATGTAGTGTAGCTTAGCTGAAACATGATTTGCTGCTCCCAGCTCCTGAAAGTAGACAAATAACAGGCACATAAAGATCAAATTCAATGCTTAGAATGTATCACTATTATGTGTCATGGCAGACAGGTAACTATGCTCTTCGAGGCATGTTTGTTCCATACACGTGGACCACATTATGATTCAAGTTAAACAGTAAAGACACTTGCTGTGATTTTACCCAAGACCACAGGGTAAAGCATGAAATCCAAACTACATAAGTTTGCATCTCACATGGTAAGTGAGCTAGTTTATTTATATTCAGACTGTTGGTTCCTTGCCTCAACTCTTTTAGTCCCAAGGACGGATTCATACGTTCATAGGTCCTAAATAAAAGCCCAATGAACACATGATGCGCAGATTTTACGTCTATCATTACTAGCTCTTAGACCTTGCTACTAAACCCACTGGGACTGAGATAGTTAATTCTTTGAGTCCCAGGGGGTTTAGCATCAGAGGCCCAAGGGGTAGTCAAGAAAGATGTAAAATAGGCGCATGTTGTGTTTATTGGGCCTCTAGGTAGTAACCTATAAACGTATGATGCGTTACTTGAGACTCAAAGAGTTGAATAGATGAACTCCTACTTGAAATGACGCCTCTTATCTTTATCTTATCTTCATTTTGTAAGTAATTATGCAGGAGGTTTCGGTGCAGTCTTCTATGAGTCATATATATATATAAATGGCTAGAACTCTATAACCAGTACACCCAAGGGCAAGAAAAATTGTCCTTCAGCTTTATTCTATCTCTGCTGCCATACTTCACTCTTCTTGTTGCAGAATCCTAAAATGTGTATCTATTTGCTCCTACCAGTATGGTGCCTCTGTAAATCCACACATGTTTTTAACATTTGGGGTGCCAGTTTAGTAGAATTTTCTTGATGAAAGGCGAAATCATATTGATGGTAGACTCATTTTGGCGCTCTCTGTTTCGCTTCAAGCTCCTCCAGAAAACCTGGACAATGAGCAGGCAACTAGATGATGGAATTGAGTGAAATGTGGATACACAGAAGAGTATTTTATATCACTGCCTGTATGCTCCCAAACTGTGAACAGTAGCTACTGCAGTTTGTTCACGTAATTATGGACACCATTTCTAGGCGAACTGTGCTATTTTCCAAAAGCTTTCTACGTCCTGCTGCAAACTAACAATATTTACCATTTTACCTTTTTTTAACATTCACTTGAGTTTTTTCTCTTGAGTACCTATAAACTGTTACAACACTTGAAGAATGAGTTTGGGAAAACCATATTTCACTGTTATCTAGCTTGAAGTCTGGACAGAAACTGTCTTAATTCTTTAGCAGTGTAGATCAGTGTTTTCCAAAGTAAGCGCTACAGGCCCCCCCCTCCCCCCTTTCGAGTTGATACGCCATCAGTCTGGGGGAAAGGGGGGAGGAGGGCAAAGGAACAAACAAAAAAAGGGGAGGGGGTGTAGATGCTTTGGGTGCAGGCAGTGGCAATTAATAAATACATGACAGTTGCGAAAACAGTAATGGTAAAGAAAACTATAGAAAACAACTTTTTCATTAACTACACTGGGCAAAGCGGGACCTTAAATCTAGTAGTGTAGACACATCGGCACTCAGTGGCTGATTGGGTAAAACTGTGCGTATTCTAGGCTGGGTCGCCTTTGGAGCTAGGCAAAATATGGTAGAAGAGGGAAAGGGTAGGGACCACACACGCACAAAGGATAAGGATAAGAATTGGGGACATGGATGGGAACTATAGTGAAGATGTGTAGGAAGCTGCGGACAAATGTTACAAATAGGCCAGCCCTGTGTAAATCTTACAAATAGGCCAGCTCTGTGTAAATCTTACAAATAGGTCAGCTCTGTATAAACTTACAAACATGCGAGCTCTGTGTAAATCTTACAAATAGGCCAGCTCTGTGTAAATTCTCGTATGATTCAATGGGTATTAGAGCGAAGGAAAAAAAAAGGGGGGGGGGGGGAGAGAGGAAGAAGGCAAAGAAGAACCGCTGAAATCAGATAAAGTTTAACACAAAAAACTACAAAGCAGATGATAACCGCTGCTCCTTGCAGACACTTTGCTGTTCTGGTGTGCACGTACCGGTGCGCTCATTGGTTCACTTATAGCCACAGGATTAGCCCGGAACGTACGAGACACACCCGCCATATTTATTGATCAAAGCACGAGGAGTTGGCGAGCAAATCCAGCAACACTGAAAATAGTGACGTCGTCCTAGGAGAGCTGGGAAATTTCCCACCATCGATCACTAACCCTCACATGCATGGGTAATTCGGTGATTTAGTAAACAATGACAGCTTTCACAGATAATGCCTGACCGTATGTATGGTCCAAACTGAGACCTGGTACGCATTGAGACAGGCGTCCTGTCTGAGACACCAGGGTCGGATTCATAGGCGAGCGTTTAGCCACCACACCATGACGGCTCCCTTTTCTAAACTCCTCGTCGAGGAAATCGAATGCTGTAACGTACAGAAAGGTAAAACCGCCATGACTGCCTGTGTTCACCACTTTTAGGGCCGAGTGGGAGGGATAAGTCGTGAATCTAAGGATTTAAGGCAGCATAGCTAGAAAAGTCACCAAAGACTGTGCAGTTTGGGATGCTTTGTGTTTTCCTACGACAGAAACAAACCCCGAACCCTTCACAGATCGAACCGAAGAGCTCAGTGTTATAACTACTCAGCCAGCCGCCCCTAGCAGCACTCTCATACTAATGTATGAAAGTTCAGGAAGACTTGTTCTAAACGCCGGCCGAGGAAATCGAACGCCGGTACGTCAAAGATGGTGAAAAGCGCTCACTAATATCTCCAATATTGAGACAAATTTGTTGTTGTTGTTAAAAGCGCATTTGGGTCAAGATAATGGAGCTAACCACTGTGAATGTTTGTGTATATAATGAAATACTTCACCTCTATTCCCTTTCATAACTAAAACTGTTCTGAAGATGTCTACGTCAACTGAACTATGCAAAATACTAACACGCCTACTTGTCTTCAGTGAGGGCTCAACATAGCGAATGTCGTGACATGGAAAACGTTATTAAACTTTTAGAGTTTAGACCAGTTTGGCAAAATCCTTTTTTTAGCACACAGCCCCATGCTCAATTCAAAATAAACAATTATTCACAGCTTTCCTTCCTGGATATTTCATAATCATCATTATGTGCCGTGCTACCGATAACCACAGGCCAGAGGTGGATTTGGCTATAAGCTACACAAGCTGTAGGTAGGGCCTTACAATCTACAGAGGCCTAAAAAATACCCCCTCCCCCCATGCAATATTTTTTAAATTTAAATTTAATTTTAAAAATATATTTTTTAATTTACACAAATGTTTTAAATTGTAACTTAGAGCCCTTTAGATGTTTAGATAATTTATGTGAACACAACCTTTATAATTACTTCTGTTAAAAATTATATGACAAAATACTTCCATTTTCCCCAATATTTAAAAGGCCTTTATATTGTAGTTTTCTGAGAATGGCAGGCGTAATTTAAAACGGCAGGTTCCTCAGGGCTTTATTGAACTTAGGGACTTATCCGGTCATGGCAGACGCGGTAATGATTCGCCATCGTGTACGAGCAGTTGTGGTATCACAAATCAGGTCACTGCCCCGCCCCATGCCATACAAGTATTTATTTATCTATTTGCCTTGCCTTCCCGCTTTCCTTTTACTAGTCAAGTTTGTCACCTGGCACCAAATTTTCGAGTCTTTTCCTTAATCTGTAATCGAACAAACAGAATTGATGCAGCGAAAAATGTGCTTCCATCCTTTCTCCTTATATCTTACCACACAGTCACGCCAGGAGGTTCTTTTTTTTAGCTCAATCGTATGTGCTCCGTTATAGGACGGCTTCATCAGACTGCTTCTCTGCGTTCGGTCACGTCAGACCATCAGGCAGGTTGCCTCTATATGAACTCGCATGTCGGCTGCAGGTCCTTTATGGCTCACCCATAGCTTGCTCTACACACTTTGCTCTTGAAGGTAGGTTTCTCTTCGGAGTTGTAGGTAGAATGGAAAGGTCTGTAGAATGTGCTCAGGTGTGTGTGATCCTATCTGAACAAGATCACTCTGATCTCAGCATAACAGAACACAACAAACATCCGGTTATTTTATCAAAGATAAAAAGGCATATGCATCAGAAACAGATGACCGGAAAAGACTGCTGCTCTCAACATAGAGAAAGACAGTAAAAAAAAAAAAAAACGAAGGCATCTAGTAAAGAGTCTAAATGAGAAGAATCGCACCAGCCATGCCAACACTGTCACTGAAGATGGTAAAAAAACTTTTACCGGTAAACAAGCAACAAACCTACTGGCCGATAGTTTTGCCGGGGAAAGCAACATTTTCCTGTCTAAAGCGAGAGCTTCGTCAAAAAAAAAAAAAAAATGATTATTTGTTTCACCCAAGTGCCTGACTGACTGACTGACTTTCTACCCCACCAGGACATCACACAAGCGATAAACACCCGATGACACAAAGTGCCACCATGTGGATGAGGATCGCCGTGGAGAGGTCCCAGAAACCGCGTTCAGACAATGGCCATATTTATGGCCTGCCTATATTGCGGCCCCTGGCAAAAGCCAGGGTGGGGCTTCAAATAACAAAAAATTTCATCCTAAAAAGGACGTAAGGATTGCTAAACCAGAGTTAAATGCAAGTAAATGACTAATTTAAGCGATGAGGGTGTTTAAGGCAATAAGCGTGCAGTTTATCTGGCAGATAATACGGCTATTACAACTGCTCTGGCACGGGTCACGAGCAACGTCATCAACGCAATGTGAGATGGCTATCGCAAAGAATACTAGAAGACAAAATTATAGCGACAGGCATGACTATGTAACT